TTCAAGGTGCCTAGGGCAAAACAATCAGATAAAGACAGAACCCAAAAGAAGATAAACGGTTAGAGTGGGGTTCTTGCTGGTCAGTCATCAGAATCAGCTGCACCCAGCTCTTGTAGGCTTGGCTTGTTGTGGTGAGTGTTTCATTGGAAAACATCAGATACTTGGCGTTGAATGTGCTATGATCCAGGATACGTATAAGGCCAATGATTCTTGGCAATAGTGATTCGCACCGGCTTCTCCATAAAACATAACTCACCAAATCTAGCTCAATTTGTTTGCCCTTCTCAAAGGCAAACTCGAACATTGCATGCGGGGGCAAAACAAGCCGCAACGCTCCAATCCTTGGGGCGGGGAAAGGCTGCGAAGAAGGACATCCCAAACCTTTCTCAACCGTCGACCATGGGACCAAAAGCCCCTGGTCCGCGTTGCCTTTTCAAACGGCAAGTGATGCGATGTTCGAGTTTGCTTTGAGAAGGGCAAGCAAATTGAGCCAGATTTGCTGAGTTTCCCTGCGGCAAGCAAAGCCGCAACGCTCCAATCCTTGGGGTCTCCGCCATGAGTCACATGCATCAAAACCGATCAGATGCCAACCACGACTGGTGCAATTAGTGCAGCCAGTGTACATAGCAGCCCGTCGCAGCGTCGTCAAAAGCGCACTGCGGCTGGCTGCTTCGCCATCGCCCGACATTGCTTGAAAAGGCCCATTTTGAGCAAAGCAGGGTCATTCCAATCCTGACATGAGCATATGTGTTAGAAGGCACTTTGAGAACTAGATGGAGGGTTATGTCATGTTGCGCTGATCCTTCTTGGGCCAGTGTCAGATCCAAAAACCGGCAGATTGGCAACTGCAATCAACATGGGTTCAAGAGTCAAGCGTTGGCCGCGGCCCACCTTTTTGTTCATGTATAACCAGAGGGACCTGATTTCATTTGGGCAAACACCTGCTTGCCTTGGGTTATGCTTAAAAGTAGATCGGATCAGAAACAAATTATTCCAGATCATTTGAAGGAGAAGGCAGTTCGCAAGCTAGTGTCTGGTGCAGCCTGGAGCAAGGGCGGTTAGTAAGTTCGTAGGCTAGCAAGTTGGCCAGTTAAAAATAGTTGGTGAGTTAGCAAGTTAGCAAGCTAGCCCAGTTAGCCATGTAAGCAAGTAAGTAAGTTAGCAAGTTAGGAGGTCCGCCAGTTAGGTAGGTTAGCAAGGTAGAGTGGAACTGGAGGAGGTTACTTTGAAGGAAAGGGCAGCTAGCGCGGCAGCAGTGCTACTACTATTTCTGCTACTGCAACTAGCACGAGTACTAGTAGCCAAACCAGTACCAGCACCAGTACTCCTCCTACTACTACTGCTACTACTACTAGCACTGCTAAAGAAACTACTGCTCGTAGTACTAGTAGTCAAGTACTAGTACTAGTTCTACTACTTGCACGGCCACTATTGCTACTGCGCCACTGCTCCACTGATACTACTGACACTACTGCCACTGCCCCTACTGCTACTCCTGCTATTGCTTCAGCAACAACAACAACTACTAGTACCACTACTGGTACTAGTACTAGCACTAGTACTAGTACTAGTGCTAGTACTAGTACTACGACTAGTATTGGTACTAGTCTACTACTGCTACTACTACTACCACCAGGCTACTACTACTACTACTACTACTACTACTACTACTACTACTACTACTACTACTTCTACTTCTACTTCTACTACTACTGCTAGTGAAACTATTGTCGTAGTACAAGCAGCGTAGTCGAGTACTAGTACTAGCGCTACTACTTCCACGACCAATACTGCTACTGGCCACCGCTACTACTGACACTACTGCCACTGCCCTACTGCTACTCCTGCTGTTGCTTCAGCAACAACCACAACTACAAGTATTAGTACTAGAACGAGTACTTCTACTATTACTACTACTGCTGCTGCTGCTGCTGCCACTACTTCTACCACTAATCACAATACTACTACTACTTACTACTACTGCTACTACTACTACTACTACTACTACTACTACTACTACTACTACTACTGCTACTACTGCTACTACCAGTAGATCCGGCGAGGCCGGTGGGCGGAAGTTTGAAAAATATCAACACTTTTGTTTTCTTTCTCCTTCTTTTCTTGATTATTTTTCCATTCTTCTTCTTCTTCCCTTAGTTGTTTCTCTTGTTTCCGTCATGATTTCTTTCTTTTGTCTTTTCTCTGTCTTCCTGCCTACCTACCTACCTACCTATCTATCTATCTATCTATCTCTCTATCTAGCTATCTATCTATCTATTTTACGCTATCTTTCTATTGATCTATTCAGTTAACTATCTATCTATCTATCTATCTATTTAATGTTTCTATTTATCTGTCTATCTATCTGTTTGTCTGTCTACTTATCTGTCTATCTATTTATCTCTCTTTCTATCTCTCTATCTATTTTTCTATCTAATCATATGTATATCCATCTATCTATGTATTTGTCTACCGACCTATCTCGTTATCTTTCTATCTTTCTCTCCCTCTATCTGTCTATCTATGTATCTATCTGTTTATCTATTCATCCATCTACCCGTCTATCTATCCATCGATCTCTCTATCTATCTATCTGTCGATCTATCCGTCTATCTATTATCTTTTTATCTCTCTATCGATCGATCTATCTATCTACTGGTATCTTGTTTTATCTCCGTATCTATTTATGTATTCCTGTATCTAGCTACGCGCTGATCTATCTATTTATTTATCTCTTTCTCTCTCTCTCTCTCTCCATCTATCTCTTGTGCCTCTATGTCTGTCTCTATCTATCTATCTATCTATCTACCTACGATTGAATCTATCTATCTATCTATCTGTCTACCTATCTATCCTTCTATCTCTCTACCTATCTATCTATCTATCTATCTATCTATCTATCTATCTATCCGTCTCTCTCTCTCTGTTAATCTATTTATCTCTCTCTCTATCTTTCTATCTATCGATCTATCTCTTTAACTATCTACCTTCTACATTATCTATCTATCTATCTATCTGTACCTAAACTTTGCGATAGTGCTGCGCCTGCCACGAAACCCGTACTTGACCTTGCGAAAGCGCTGCGCTTGCCACGAAAGTTCTGCGCCTGCCACGAAATCGCCTGCCACGAAATCTTCGCGTGACCTTGCGAAAGTGCTGCGCCTGTCACGCAATTCCAAGCTTGGGAAAACTCGACCTTGCGAAAGGACTGGTCCGAACGCGCTCCGAACGCGTGCTTATTCCTTCTCTTGTCATCTGTCTCAGAGAGAGCTAGCTTTCAATTAGTTGCCGTAACACGGAAGTTCCTTCTAAACTTCCTTTGACAACTACTGCTGCTACTACTGCTACTGCTACTACTGCTGCTGCTGCGACTGCTGCTACTACTACTACTACAACTACTGCCACTACCTGTTTTTCTTGGTCCTGAATTATTGTTTTTGATCCCTCAGCCTTGATGTGGCCAATACCAGCGCTGCCAAGGACAGTTGGGAGCACGCGTTCCACATCACACGCAGATGGATCCAAAAATTGATTTGCATCCTTTTGGTCAATGAATGGGACTCGCCAGATAGGTGTTTGCCAGTACTTCGCGAAATGCGGTCCAATTTTTTGTCAAACACGCACACACCGGGTCCTTGTTGGTGGTTTGCACCAACCCCATTCCCGTGATTTCGTGTTGCGGTTTTGGTCGACCGCATGGCCTGCTTAGATGAAACTGTTATGTGCTCTATGCGGTTTCTACTTGAGTCTCGTGTGTGTTTGACACCTTTGAAGCTGGCCAGTCGGCACTTTCTACCAGGCCCCTGGCCTGTCTTCCCGAAGCACCCAATTGTTTAAAGTGGTGCCGTTAAAGGCAAACTACAGGAAACACCACACACACACACACGCCGTTTTGTAGGTTCCCCGAATTGACGAGACACACCGTATTGTGCCGGGCGGCTTGGCAGGTCAGAAGGGCCTGCGTATTTGGAGATCTGAAAGGCTACCCTGAGTCCCATGACCCTTCAAAAATTGGGCCATCTGCCAAACATATGGGGTCATGACTCATAGCCCCGTGTTGAAGGTCACTAAGCATTGAGTCATCGCCCGCGGCATCTACCAAAAACTTGTTTTGGTCGTGACTCACCCCGTTTTGAAAGGGTCATGGAGGCTGCAGGTAGGGTGCATCCCGCCGTCCCGAGCGACGGAGCTACGACTAAATTCTCGATAGACGCGCAAGTGCCCCTTGGCGAGACAAGTGCTCTCGATCGTTTTCGTTGCGCGCGCGTGTTGAGGACCGGGTGGAGCTTAGCTTGGTGCCAACCTGCGAAACAGCTCGTGGTAGTTTCAGGCTGCAGAGTAAACAAGCATGAGAACTGGAACAAAGTTTTTGGTTTTTCAAGCACCCTGTTTGTTGCAAGCTTTGAATCATGCCACGACCCTGCCGCTTGGCTTGGGTTGTTGGTTTGTAGAGTTGTCTTTCTCGAGTACCATGGCTTTGAGCGTTGAAACTCTACTCGGTCAGATGGGTTTAGAGCTGGAAAGGCCACATGTCACATATTATGTCTTGTATTTAGGCAACTTGCAGAATACCACCTGCGCGGGCCATTCTGCTGATGGTACCGGATGAATTCTGCGTGGTGGGCTGGTTCCCCATTCTCTTCACCCATCTTCAGAACCCACGCATTGCCCCACAGTTTTTGACGATTTCTCCAACAGGATCCCTGAAGACAAGGAAGGTGCAGCAACACTGTGCCTTCATGCAGTTGACTTTCGCTGCTGCCGGGCTTGCGGCCCGGGTACGATGGTTTTCCGGCGGAGGGTTGGTGCTGTTGAAATATGTTGACCCCCCAGTAAAACCCCAGTTTATTAATTGGGAAAGGGTCCCCTCCAATAGTGAGCAATCCCCACCAAAACCAGGGACATTTTTTTTAAATCAACACTGATCTATGAATAGGGGGTGTTCATTCTTCCTTGGGCTTAGAATCTGGCCGCATGTGAAGCCCTTAAACCGCGGCCAGGCGGTTTCAAGCGCTGCACCGCTCTGAGCGCCAGCCGCCTGCCGCGAAGATTGGCTTCGCGTGCCACGACGTGAGGTTTGTCCAAACATCGCAGTGGAACGTTTGTTTCGTTGCTTTAGCCAAACTTCCATTTGCTCAAGTGTTTGTTTTTCTCTGTTGGTATTGAAGGAAACTGATGTCGCTACTGAAAATATATTCTCATTTTGTGGGGACGTATTCGTTGGAGTAAAATGCTTGTGGTGTTCCTTGTGGCTTCCTTTTAAAAAGACCCCCCGATTCGACGCGTTGCCACGTCTTGCCCCATGAAAAGCCCAGCAATGGATGTTTGAACCAGGATCACCAATTGATCACCCGGATCCCCCAGGTCATCCAAGATTCATTGGGAAAAAGGCGAAAGGAGACACTCTTTCATTTGAAGCCCTGTTCTTCGCCGATCGAAGCACTCCGTTGAACGTACCTGGACCCTCAACCCATAAAAATGGGATATCACCAACCATAATTTTGGGGGTCAAACCCATTTGTAAGGTGGAATTTTGAGGGTTCAGGTACCCTTTTCTTTGGTTTCCCTTTCAGCTGAGCTACCAAGAACTGCGTGCCCTTGAACTTGGCACTTGAACGTGGTGCCCCTTTTTCGCTGAATCCCTTCGAACATTATTGGGGCTTGGGCTTTTGGACCTAGGGTTTGTGGTTTAAGCTTTTGGCTGTGGCTCAAAAAACCGGAATTCCAAAATGGAACCCTGGTAAGTGGAAACATGGACCAAGACCCTTTTGGACTTAGGGTTTGGGGCAGGTCATCCCTACCACAGCCATCGTCAAAAGCCTCGAGGCTGGTCGGAGCTCGAGCAACGCCTTCCAAGCAGCGTGGCGCCTGAGCCCATGACGGTAGACTCCACGCTGAACCCGCAGAAGCCCAACTTGGAAGGCGCGAAACGGACAAGACGTGGCCGGGTTGGGAGCGCCAAATTGGGCTCTTGGATAGATGTATTCACCCCGACATTTTGGGGCAATAACCAATTTTCAAGGGTATTTTGCGGGTCCAGGTAGATGTATCAGGATGTGGATCCCCAATCATGCCATGGCTTCTCCAATCCACGGTGTACCAAAGGCGCGCCACCTGTGGCTCATCTCGTTTTGAGTCTCGGTAAACTTGGCGGATGATGGGAAACCAAAAAAACCCCTTATTTTGAGACAGACCCATATGTATGGCTATGAAATATCATAAGAAAGGGGTTTGTCACAAATTTTGGGCCCCTCAATTTAAATTTATACCAAGAACTCACCCCCAGTTGGAGGGAAGCAACCCATCATCACAAAAACAGCAACCCACCGCTGGGGGACTCTTAGCTCGTGTTTCCATGTTGCTCGATTGAAGGGGGGGACCCTTAAAATCAACAATTCATGAGGTGGCCCTATCTGCCATTGTTCTTTCCTGCGTGATTTCATTTGCCAACCGGTTGGCCAAGTGGATGCTGCCAAATGTTGGAAGACAACCTAACCTGAAACCACCCTACACCCACCCTAAACCTTACTCCCCCTATCCCTTTGTTTAGTCCTTTGCCCCTGCGTGCCATGGTCAAAACTCCTCATGTGGAACCCTTGCATTGGTTGTTCAAAGTCGCCTTCAGATCCATCCCTAACAGCCCCAAGAAGCGACTCGGCGTATTGACCGCAATGGAAGCAGTTCTCTGCATCAGGCCTTCTCAGCGATTCCAATTAGAAAACCACTGCGCGACCAGGCCTCTTTCTTACTTGAGATCCACTGGGTTCCGACCTCATGCGGAGTCTTTCCCTGGGGGCGAGGGCGAGGGATGTAATTATTTAGTTATGTTTTCAGCCTCTGAAGCTTGCGCTCGCAAAAAACATGTGCGAATCAACCCCTAGAGCTTTTTCTTTGTCTTCTTTGTGCCCAGTGGCCAGATTGTAGCCATCGAAGGATCGAAGGATCGAAGTCGAGGGAAGCCCGAGCCGAGGCTTGACGTTCTTTCGTGAGCGCAATGGCTGGTGCCCCTACTCTGAGCGGGTGTGGCTCGCGCTGGAGGTGCCGATTTGGGCCCCAGAGAATTTTGCGGGGGTTCGGAAGAAGTCGGTGAATGGGTTGGGCATTGGGGCAGCGGCAAGAGCGGTGTGTCATAGTGTGTTTTGTGTCATTTTCAAAGGGTGGTGTGTCATAGAGTCATGGTGTCACTTCATTTCGCTTGGAGTTTGAGGGGCCAATTAGCAGCTTGCCTGGGACCTCAGGACGTCATAGTTCGCCAAAGTTGATACTCCAACTTCCACTTGCTTCAGACTGTGTCCATTTTGATGGGGAATTGTCATGCCTGGTATATATTTCGCAAACAACAGGGCTTGATATTTCAATCTTTAGGATTTGGACGGGCAAGACAGCAACCGATTAAGAGCTGGGTCATCCGCTGCTAAGCAGTTTCATCATAAGCCCAGTGCTAGGAGCAGCTGAGTGTTTGGGGAGCTAGACCTTGCATTACTTGTTCGTCCCCTTCAAGAATGTCCAACATGTGGGGCATGCTAGTTTCGACAACCCTTACACCAATCTTCACGAAGTTGATCTTTGAGTGTAAGTAGGAATGACCTCGCCCATGAGTTGTCTTGACTCTGGTTCTGTTTGCTTGCTCTGTGGCTTTGCTTCAGCGCTGCCTGTGTGTTTCCCTGTTGTGCCCACGAACAGAAGGCACCTGTGGGTTTGGGTACCTGGATCAGTCTCCTCTTGAAGGGCACCTTTTGGTAGGGGGTGGGGATGGGGTGGGTTAAGGGGGGGGGGGGGTTAAGGGGGTGGGTTAAGGCCATTTTAGTGGGAGAGCACTAGCTTTCTTGCTGGTTTCGAGGAAAGCTTCTCCTTGTCTTTCCAGGCGCAAGAGCTCCTGTTTCTGCGTGTGTTGCTTTCTGTTTGCAGCTTTGAAAGACCTTGGTGCTGATCATTTTGGGTCTTTCTGTTTGCATCTTTGGTGGTTGTTGTTTCCATCTTTGGATTGCACGTGTTTTACTTAGGGTCCTCGGAATCCACCAGAATGGTCAGGAAAAGCTGTCAGTCCAAAACCATGTGGAAACATCTGTAAGTTGGCAAGCTGTTTTTTTTCCCAGATAGCTGAAAGCTATAGGGGTTCCAACTTCTAATAAAGAGGCGAAATTGATGGCTGGGTGCTAAGGGGTGTGCAGTTGGTGGGGAGCTATTTGTGGTGCTGGTGACGGTGCGGGTGCATTTTTTGCAAGATTCATGGCAGGGTGCCGGTGTTGGTGCGGGCGCTGATTTGTGGTGCTTTTTGGGTGTTGTTTGAGCTGTTTTGGGATGCTGGTGCGGGTGCATTGTTTTTGCCAGATTGAAGCCGTGTGTTGTTCGAGGGGTGCTGCTTGCTGGCGTGCAATCATCCGCTTTATTTTTCGCTCTTTGTGGTCTACGCTGGCGTATTTTTGTTGTTTCTTCCGAAGGCTCTGGTGTTGCTCAGGTCTTGGTAGTTGTGGGACTTGGTCTCCTGGTTCGTGTAGAGGGTCAATGGCAAACCACTCCTCAACCACCAACCCACCAATGCAATCCAAACTAAGTAGGGGAGCTGAAACCTTGGAAATGAGCCTTTGTGCAAACCAGCGTCGAATCGTATCGCCAAAATCACCAGGTTCGTCAGACTAGGTCCCCCCGTAGTGCCCTTTTACCCTTTGTTGGGGGCGGGTTCAGGTTCCCCTACTACAGTAGACGACAGAAAAACAGTTGGCACCCTTAACCTCTCAAATGTGGAGGACCTAGCTAAGGAAAACTTAAACCCCGGGGTTCCCTTTTGAGGACATGAACCACCCCAGGGTTTAAGCTTTGGGGTAACCAAAAAGTGGTTATTCTCGGGTTGGGTTCGACACGTATCGCCAACACAACCAGGTTTATGAGAGAAGCTGTTTTGCTGCAGCGCTGGGCAGGCCAAGGGCCTGCAGTACAACACGGTGCTGGTGGACAACTACGGACGCCGCGCGAGTTGGATCGGCGGGCAGACGCCGCAGGTGCAATGGGCCAGCGGCAAGCGTCAGGGGGAGTCCCTGGATATCATCAAGGCCTTGGAGACTCGGAGTCCAGACATTTGCTCCCCCATCCAGGGCAGGGCAGGTTGTGTTCCGTTGCCTAGAAGAGTATGGGCCATATGGGGGACATAGAGGAAACCTGGGTATTGAAATGAATGTATATTAACATAATATATATATATATATATATAAGAATAAAAAATATGATGATGATGATGATGATGATGATGATGATGATGATGATGATGATGATGATGATGATGATGATGATGATGATGATGATGATGATGATGATGATGATGATGATGATGATGATGATGATGACAGTGCTGACGATAACGATGATGATGATGATGATGATGATGATGATGATGCTGATGCTGGTGCTGGTGCTGATGCTGATGATGAAGCTGCTGCTGATGCTGATGATGATGATGCTGATGCTGATGCTGCTGCTGCTGATGATTATGATGAGGATGATGACGATGATGATGATGCTGATGATGATGATGATGATAATGATTGATGATGCTGATGCTGATGCTGATGATGATGAGGATGATGAGGATGATGAGGATGATGAGGACGACGATGACGATGATGATGATGATGATGATGATGATGATGCTGATGCTGATGCTGATGCTGATGCTGATGAGGATGATGAGGATGACGATGACGATGACGATGACGATGATGATGATGATGATGATGATGATGATGCTGCTGATGCTGATGCTGATCTGATGATGATGATGATGATTATTATTATTATGACGGTGATAACTATCATCACAGCATCCTTTGCAGCACCATCATGATGATAACTGGGGACTTCGAAGTCACAAAACCCCCCATTCGCCTTGGCCATGTGGCCTGTCAGCCTCGCAGGTTGTGGCGGAGCCTCCGCATCAAAGTTGTCCTGGTTGTTTTTTCCATTCAAAGCCATCCACAAACGCGGAGGTTGGCCTTTTGAGCCATTTCGGAACAAAATATAGGGGAGAGAGCAGAATTTCCCTGTCGGGATCAGATAGGAAAGCGGACCGGAAAACTGAACTTCCATTTTGAACCTGAAGAGGGTTTTGTTCTTTTGGGCCGGCCCTTTGAGGATTCCTTTTGTTGGGGACGGTATGCACATTTTCTGCTGGTAGAACGCCCCGGGTTGCGGGAGAAAATCCCACGGCATAAAGGGGACAATATGCATTTCCCTACTTACCTTTGTGACCAAATGCTTGGAATCCTGGAAGTAAAAGATCCTTTTGCAACCTTGACAAAACACCGTCCCTTTAAAACCATCCCAAAAGGAGGCTGATATGCCTTGCTCCCGTTTTTCCGTTTTAGCTCAGCAAGGGGCAGTTTGGGTTTGTTGGGGGTGTGAACAAAAATGAGAAAGGATAAATGAATAATGCGTTGCAAACAAACTATTCAAGAAAGGGTGTTGACTGTTGCCCCCTCCTTTTTAAGTGCCAGGTGGTCGGAGAGAGCTTTGTGTTGCTTTTGGGGTTTTTGGTCGACCGCTCTCGGGTCACGTCCAAGGACAAAGAGTTCCCGGAGAAGCCACTTTGGCCGGATGAGGAGCGGCGAAAGGTGTGTTCTACTTGCTGGTGCGATAGGTAGGGAATGAACCGGTTTGGGGTCCCCTTAAAGGCAACCACAAGATGGTTATAGGGGTCATTCCCTCATTCCTTACTGAGCACCAGCAAGTTTACTTGGACGTTCCTTGCCACAAGGTAGGCTATTGAACACACATGGCCTGCGTCAGGTTGGGAAACCAAATGCATGTTATTCATAGGCACGCGGCTGAACGCACTTGCTAGTGTGGATATGGATAATAATGGAATATATGAAAAACCATGGTCAGAAGCGGAACAACTGGGGTTGCTTGACTTGTTACCGGACGTAAGTTGCACTTCCAAGAAGGGGCGAACGACAATGAGCCCGCGCTGGGATCTCTTCAGAAACTGTGTTGTGCTTCAAAGTGTTGGTTGTGGCTTGCAGGGAACAAACACACCCACAAGTGTCAGAGCCCATGAAGTGCCCCGAAAGGATTGGCAAAGCCTCCATTTAGAAGAGCTCAGTTTTGCGTGTGGTAAGGAAGCCCCAGTGTAGTGGTGTGCTTCTGATGATGATAACAGAGGGTCGGTGCAAGGCCAAAACTTGCTGGTGCGATAGGTAGGGTTGGGGCTGAACCAGAAGGGGATTCCCCTTAAAGGAAACCACGAGTTGGATTGTTTTGCTCCGGGTTCATTCCATTTCTCATTCCCTGCCAATTTCGAAGCAGCAAGAAAAGGAGCGCGCCAGCCGTTTAGAAAAGGCGCGCGTCCCTATCGCTTTCTGCCAGGAGGTCACCCAACTGGTCAATGCCTTTCGCTCCACCTTCCCAAAGCAGACCAGGCCGGAGCTGCGGCGCTGCAGCTGTGACGTCCTCTCAGTTGGCCCAGTTGAAAAAACTGCGAATTGCTCGTTTCTCAAACATATTTAGATTGTTTTTTGTTTGATTGTGCATAAGATGATTATAGCTATAACATTGGAATCAATTACTTCTCAATCGCCGTTCTCGTGGTGATTTCAATCTAGTATAACAATTTGATGTGGCCCACCGGTTATTGCTTTCTTTTAAACGCGCCGAGCGGGCAACACAATTTGCCTCGGGGTAAAGTGACTTCTCCATGTCCGAGGCAAGCAAAAAGAAACCGAACCAGAAACCACCAAGCGCCAAGAACCGCCAACCGCCGAGACTGGAAGCTGCTTCTTGAAAAGAACACTGGTTGAAACGGATGACGCAAAAGGGGACGGGGAGCGCGTCTATGAAGCGCGAGCGCGTTTGGCCGACTTTCGGCCATGGCTTTTTTTTGCGGGGAACTGGGAGGCCATCCTCTCGAGCGGCCTTCCTCTTCTCCTGGAACGGCCCAGTCTTCCGCTCGGAGTTTGAGAAGACGCTGGGCAAGACCGAGGAGAAATCCCTGCAGTCTCTCTTGTTTTTGTCGGGGCAAACAAGCGCGACCCGAAAACGGGGGGTCGCCCTGTTGGTTTCCCTTTTAAACAACCCAAAAAGGGTATCCTCGCATGAGACAAATGAAAATAAATCAACCACGCAAAGTCAAATGTGGGCCGATAGCCAAGCTCAGACATGGAGGCCACACAGAGATTCGTTTCATCCTTGGACGTTGCACAACTAGAAAGTCATTGTTTGACACAATCACCATTGCATCAGGTACCTCTATCATTTGGAGGGCAGACAATATGTTTCTGGTACTCTTTGATCAATCGGGTATAATACTGACATCACTGCTGACCCTCCTATTTATAAGCCCCTCCTATTGATAGGTGTTCCCTCTAGCAGTGATGAATCTCCACTAAAAGCGGACACCCCCCAAAAAGATCAACCAGAGGGTGTATTGTTCCGGGGTTCCATTACTCATGGGGGTGCGGGGGGGAGGGAGGGGGGCTTAATAAGGGCGTATTTGGGCTCCCTCCCCCTCCAGCCCCATAAATTACAGGTAAGACAAGTTGGTGTACCAGCACCCTCCGAGGGCTGTCTATTCGTACCTTTCGTAAGTGCCCTCTATTTGATGGGCACTTTTGGGTTAGGGTCAAACAAGGGCACTTAGCAAATCAAGCTAGGGTCAAATCAATGTATATACACGTATCTTCCATGCCCTATTCTGGATGGAAGAAACGTTGTTGGCTGGATTTGGCATGTGGTTTGCATATAATAGGGTACCACATCCAGCTATCAACCTTTGCATCCACCCAGAACTACCCCTGTCTCCCCAAAAAGCTGCTGCTGCGG